TGGTAAACATCTACCATACTACACGGCGTAACAATCCAGAAGACAGAAATCTTCGAAAACTCGTATCTTAACAATAACAAGCTGATGTTGTTTGTGAGAATAATCTTATTTTTCTCAGAATCTCAGTAAACTCGTAAGTACAGACTATGGGCAAGAAGCAGAATTACTGGATGTTAAAGTACGTATTAAACGTAGCTACCAGTCAGTTTGAAAAGTTTAAAATAAACACAAAATTCAAGTAAAGCCCAAGTTCGTATTCCCTGGCATATGTCATAACCCAGTGGTATTCAACGTGGGGTACGCGTACGCGAAGAAACAATCCAGAAGACAGAAATCTTCGAAAACTCGTATCTTAACAATAACAAGCTGATGTTGTTTGTGAGAATAATCTTATTTTTCTCAGAATCTCAGTAAACTCGTAAGTACAGACTATGGGCAAGAAGCAGAATTACTGGATGTTAAAGTACGTATTAAACGTAGCTACCAGTCAGTTTGAAAAGTTTAAAATAAACACAAAATTCAAGTAAAGCCCAAGTTCGTATTCCCTGGCATATGTCATAACCCAGTGGTATTCAACGTGGGGTACGCGTACGCGAAGATATCTTAGGGGTACGTGAAATTTAAAAAAAAAAAAAAAATATTTTATGATAAACACTGAATAATCAGTAATGAATGTAATTTATTTTAGATGTAGATTATATACTATGTATAACTTGAATTTTAGACCAACAACTTTGGGGGTGCGAAGTTGAAGAGAAATTATATCTGGGGGTACGCGAACAAAAAAGGTTTGAATACCACTGTCATAACCTACCGCCGTACGGATTTTAATGACAGAACGTAAGCAGGGTTTACACCAGTGGTCAGTAGCTCAACTCACGTCGGTCTGCATATTTTGTCACTACAACCAGGAAAGACATTTTACAACCAGAGATTTATTTCCTTTCTTCTTAGAGACTAAATATTTCGCCTTCCACCCAGCACATCGTCTAATCGGCTAATTTATGACAAGGAGACAAGGAATTTTACTGACGTTGACTACATCTCTCAGAAAAATACGGAGGCAAATTTGTGTGTGTGTTGCAAATCAGACCATTTAAATTATTTCATGTAAATTCACGTAGAAGGTAAACGTAAATTTGAATCTGTTGCTTACTTAAGCACCACGTCACGCGTGTGAATTTCACAGACGACTTACTAGTAATATAATTAGGTTTTCAGACTATTATTTGTACTGTACAATGTGAAAGAAAGAAATAACAGCTACTTGGAAGATCCACTTCTGATTTGCGTGAAGTATAGATTGGAATTTGGCAGCTCCCATTACTGCTTCTATTTGCCGCCAGCGTTTCTGTTATTATTTATTTAGTGTTCTGTCTGAC